CCCTCCTGCTGATCCGTGATCCGGTCATTACATGGTCGGTCTTTATGCTTCATGGCATAACGACAATTTGCATATTACAACTTTATTATATAGGATAGTTGAATATATTTTGATATATTCATACTATAGAATATTATACAGTAGTTTAACAAACAGATTTATACATAGTTAGATGAATAAATTTCCAGCATATATGTTGAATGGAAAAGCCAATTATAGAATGTTGCATATAATCTACACTAATAAAAGAGAAACATGGTAATTAGCGTACGACCGCTACCCTTCCAATTGGCTAATCAGCATATCCTTATGCAAATTAACTGTCAGCCAAGATGGCGGCCAGCAGCCATGCACTGAAGCGAACAGGGAGGCTTGCTTGCTCCAGTGACTGCGGACTCCAACGTTCCCCGCCTGAGTTGCCGGCCTCTCAGCTGCAACTCTAAGCAACTATGTACTATGTTGCAAATATAGAAGCTAAACAAAACCCCAGAAACCAGCTTTCAGTCAGCCTGCCTTCAGCCAGCCTGACCGCAACATTGTATCAATGTTTTCAGCAGCAAGGCCTCAGAGCTAAAGCTGGCCCAGAATAGAAAAAAGAAAAAGAAAAAAAGGAGCAGTTGGGAGCTTCAGTCACCCGCCAACGTGAAAACGGCCCTCAGCCCCTCACCCAGACTGGCCAGGCACCCCAGTGGGGACCCCCACCCTGATCCAGGACACCCTGCAGGGCAAACCAGCCAGCCCCCACCCGTGCACCAGGCCTCTATTCTATATAGTAAAAGGGTAATATGCTTCCAGGCACTGGGATCAGCGGAGCAGCGAGGCTCCCGGCACCGGGATCAGCGTGACAAGGGGCAGCATCCAAACCCCCTGATCACCCAGCGGCTCTGTGTGTGACAGGGGACAGGGCCACAACCTCCCTATCTGCCCTGCTCTGTTCGTGTCAGGGGAAGGCGCCCCAATCCCCTGATCGCCCAGCGGCTCTGTGTGTGACAGGGGACAGGGCCACAACCTCCCTATCTGCCCTGCTCTGTTCGTGTCAGGGGAAGGCGCCCCAATCCCCTGATCGCCCAGCGGCTCTGTGTGTGACAGGGGACAGGGCCACAACCTCCCTATCTGCCCTGCTCTGTTCGTGTCAGGGGAAGGCGCCCCAATCCCCTGATCGCCCAGCGGCTCTGTGTGTGACAGGGGACAGGGCCACAACCTCCCTATCTGCCCTGCTCTGTTCGTGTCAGGGGAAGGCGCCCCAATCCCCTGATCGCCCAGCGGCTCTGTGTGTGACAGGGGACAGGGCCACAACCTCCCTATCTGCCCTGCTCTGTTCGTGTCAGGGGAAGGCGCCCCAATCCCCTGATCGCCCAGCGGCTCTGTGTGTGACAGGGGACAGGGCCACAACCTCCCTATCTGCCCTGCTCTGTTCGTGTCAGGGGAAGGCGCCCCAATCCCCTGATCGCCCAGCGGCTCTGTGTGTGACAGGGGACAGGGCCACAACCTCCCTATCTGCCCTGCTCTGTTCGTGTCAGGGGAAGGCGCCCCAATCCCCTGATCGCCCAGCGGCTCTGTGTGTGACAGGGTACGGCGCCCCAACCCCCCTGATGGGCCCTGCTCTGTGAGTGACAGGGGGGAGCACCCCAACCCCCTGATCGGCCCTGCTCTGAGCCTGACCAGGGGCTCCACCTAGGGATTGGGCGTGCCCTCTGCCACCCGGGAGCAGGCCTAAGCCAGCAGGTCTTTATATCCCGAGGGGTCCCAGACTGCGAGAGGGCACAGGGCGGGCTGGGGGACCCCCCTCCCACCCGAGGGCCCAAATTTTTGTGCACCGGGCATCTAGTATATTATAAATGCCAAAACCATAGGAGGAGTCATTATAGTTTATGTAATTCTATTTATCTCAATTGACCTGAATTTCCAGGGAATAAATAATCTTGAAATTTTGGTATAGACCAACCCAAGGGAGATGTTTTTTAAGTTTTTAAGATAGGATTCAACCCCAGGAGTGGTTAACGCTGAGAGTCAACAACTTGTGTAGGGTGGCAAGGACTTCAGGACAGGGGTGTCACCAATCACTCTCTCTGAACATAGTATCCATAGTGGTCTGGAAGGCAGCATTCCAGCTCCACATGGGACAGTCAGTTCAGTACAAGAAACTATAACCCTGTCTTTTAGAGTCACAATTCACATGCATACTAGTACATGGTTAAATGTATTAAAAGTTCTGAGAAGTCATGCAGCAACAGAATTTGTTGAGCATTGTTCAGCTCCTTGCTAAGCTCCACTCCCATGTGCCTCTTCACCATAAGGTACCTAAGCCTTCATGTGTCAAAAACTGAATTTATGGATTGCAGCCCCAAATGTGATCTTCTTGGGATGACTCCTAAAGTGTACAAGTTATTCATCTAGTGGTGCCAGTCAGAAAGCTTGATTCCACTCTTTCTCGCATCTTATATTTATAATCTTACATCAAATCCTGTTAGTTATACATACACAAAGCCTGTTATTTCTGAACATTTTTCTCAATTTCTGCCACTCCCATTATAGTGCATTAGAGTATGTACTACATTACCCCTATCCATTCCTGCCATCTGTATTAGTCTATTTAGGCAGCCTTGACAAAAGACCTTGGTCTGGGTGGCCTAAACAACAGAAACTTATTATTTCATGATTCTGGAGGCTACGGGTCTATGTTCAAGGCACTGTTAAATTTGGTTTCTAGTGAGTCCTGTCTTACTGGCTTGCAAATGTCCTCACATGGCCTCTTCTCTGCATAGCTGTGAGAGAGAGAGAGGGAGAGAGAGAGAGAGAGAGAGAGAGAGAGAGAGAA